GGTGGGAGCTGTGGGATTACCTGCACTCTGGCCTCAGTGAGGTTGACTCTGCGTGCGAGGTCTTCCCGTACGAAGGCATCGGGGTAGTGTGTCCTCTCAAAGACCCTCTCTAGTGCCTGCAGCTGGCTGCTGTTGAAGGTAGTCCTGTTCCTCCTCTGCTTCCTTTTCTTCTTCTCCTCTGAGTTCAGCTGGTCATCTAGGAGAGACAATTGGGGATGGGAAAAGTGAGGAAGGTACGAGCCCGCAGCCGCGGGGTGAACGACCTCAGTGGTTTCAGGAGGGAAAGGGCTGAGAAAGGGACTGGCAAAATTTCAAAATTTCATCCCCACACATTAACCACGCTGTGCCAGCCCCCACATGAAGAGGGACTGACCCCAAGCATTTATTTTTCAATTCCACTGCATAAGACTCGCACCAGCTCTCTCAAGCTACGCCAGGTCTCAGCTTCCTTATCTCCAAAAAGCAGCAAGAAAGCATCTCCCCATTCCTGACAACCCCGAAATCTTCTCTGATGGCAAAGAATCACAAAACGCTGTTGTATTGGCTTCAAATTGCCAAGGATTGTTCTCACAGGGATGTAATACAGCTCGCTGGGGTAGGAGCATGTTGGATACTGTTAGTGAGGAGCAGCTGTGCCCTCTGCAGCATCCTCCTGGCCTTGCCAAGCCCAGCAAGGCGCTGAACAACCATCCATAAAAGAGCATGTATTGTTTTGTACCTGGTTTGCATTTACTCTGAAATTAATCAATACATCTGGATCACACCAGTATGTGTGGGGTGCCACCAAAAAAATCCACGTTACCCTGGGAGGGACCTGAGCCAATATTCACATCAGCATTAAAGTGTATTGATCCCTGAACCCATAAAGATGCACAAGCTAGTGGATCATATTCTAAGTTCATCACTGCACACCTTGGCCCGGGTGACAGTGTCACCACTCAGAGTCCCACTTTTTCCATGTACAAATATGACAGCTCCCCCTTGTCCCCCTCTGCTCCAGGGGGTGTGTAAGGCACGGGGAGGGGCTGACAAGGAAATTAAAGTCTGCAGTTGTTGTCCTCACCACCTGTTTGTGTTGCTTTTCATGGCCCATCTGGTACCAGTTACTGCACCTGAACACCTTTGGAGCAAGGCCCATCCATTTGGGAACAAAAGGACATTCCTCTTAAATTAAAGCAGGGTTTTCAAATTCCTTCAGCTTTACGGTGCCTCCATCCCTAATCCTCTTCCAACAGCCTGATGATCCCCAGAAGGCTCCTTTCCAAGCCTGGGCATTCCTGGGTGCAAAAACACGCCCTTGGTTTTCTGTATCCCAGAGGAAGCGTTTGGAAGACCAGTTTTTAACAGGAACACTGAGTCGTAAAGCTGAGCTGGAAGGGACTGGCAGAGACAGGGATGTGCAGGAAAAACAAAATCATGTAGGAATTAAAGCAGAGCTACAGGTGAATCAGGTGCTGGGAAGCAAAGCAGAGGATCAGAAAGCAGAGCAGAGGGATGGGATTGATGGGATTTATCTCCTGCTTGTGCAGAACGCCCTGGTTTAACGCTGCAGGGGTCCATCCCCTGCAAAAAAGGAGAAAAACCCTGCATGCCCCTCTCTTGACTCATCACCAAACCCTTCTCAGAAGGGGTCAGCTCTTTCCCCCTGGCTCTGCTGGCCAGTTTGGACATAGCTGTGCTGCTGAGCACCACGCCACACAGCAAAGGAGCCTCAGGGCACAAACGTCCCTCCAGATGCCACGAACATTGCAAGACCAGCTGCTGGAGAGGCCAAAGACAACACAAAGGGCCTCCTTTGGAGTTACCCATTTCATGCCGTTTCCTAATCTAAACCCTGCCTATGCAGGGCATATGAACGAATCAATAAAAGCCTTCGGGACCCCTTCAGAATCCCTCGGAGGCTCTGCAGGATCAGGTTCTGCCCAGCAGACAACACCCGGCTGGAGGGAACACGAGCCCGAGGCTGTCTGGCCACTGCTCCATCCTGCGTGACAGCTACACATGAGGAAGGGTGAGCACATCCCCCTGGGGAGCAGGAAGAAGGGGCCAAAGTCTGTGAAAGGCTGGAGAACAAGAGTTCCCCCTGCCAAGCACGTTAACACAATTTGCCTGGTTTCCTCCCGGCGTAGAGCGAGACGCCGGCGGTGATTCACGGCTCACCTCGTAATTACTGAGCCCAAAAATAGGAAAGTGTCCGTGCTGGGTGACTCACAGCCAGGTCACCCCCAGGCCGGGCTGGCATGGAGCAGGGATGTGAGTCACCCCCCTTTTTTCCAGGACACAGCTGCACGGAGGTGACAGCAAAGCACAACCTGTGGAATTTTGGGATCTGCCGTCGCCGCGCCTCCGGAACGGCGCGAGACCCAAACGTCTACAGGAGCGACTTGGGTAGCAGGGGAAAAAAAAAAAAAATAATAACAGGATGTTGATCCTCGTGTTTTGTCATACACTGGTTACAAACTGCTAAATGAGGGACTGCACACACCCAAAGCCCAGCCTGCCTGCAAATGTCACCTTGCTCACAGCGCTGCCTCCAGCATGGCAGCAGGGCATTTCTTCTCCTCTGCCATCATTTCTTTATCAGGAAACAACGCTGAACACTGAAAAATGATTTTCCTGAGCAGTGTTGACAGCACTAGTGACTGGAGTCAGCAGAAACGCAGAGGAGAGGAAAACAGCTCTAAAGCTTTTTGGGTCGGTCAGAAGTGTTTTGTCAATGTTCTTTTAATCAGAAAGATTTTTATTACATGCAGCTCTCTCAAAAGCTGAGCAGCTTGAAAATGTGCCTCGCAGAGAGATCGAAACGTGTGTTCTCCTCTCAGGAACCCAGCACTGGAAAATCTGGGAATTTCATTGCCAAGTCCTAACCTTCCATGCTGGGCTAAGGGACTACATTTCCTGTTTCCACATTCGTGTTTTCCTGTGTTATTTCTACATTTCCCCGTAACATGCAAGTCGTGGTGCCATACACAAGTGCACCAAAGCATTTTCAAGTGCTCCTAAATGATTCAGCATGAAATATTCTATTCTTTTTTTCCTCTTGCAGCGAGGCAGATCCACACTGACACTCCAATCTATTCTCCTCAATGCACAGTGCCTATAACTATCACTGGGGAACCACCAGGCAGCTCCTCTTGGGATGCCACATTGAAAATAAAATGCCTTAAAAAAAAACCAAATCAGACTTGAGAACGAAATGCCTATGCAGGAGTTTCAAGATTGGTATTTTTTTCCATCAATATTTACAACCGCAACATATTTTAGATTTCCAGTTTGCAGGCATGCTTGTGCATACTTGCACTCATTCCAGGTCAGAACAAAAGCTAATTTCCAGATGGGATTTACACTGTGTGGGCAGTTTGGAAAAGTTTTGACTAGCTCTATTAAGTCCAGAACCAGTTATTATAGTTCATTAATTGGATCCGAATCGAAAGGAAACAATTGAATTTAATTAAGGGAGGGACAGAGACACTTAACCACACTATAATGTTCGGTAAGGCAGGGAAGATTTGTCACATCAGTTATAGAAACTGTAAACTGAGAAAGGATTCCAGGAAGAAAATAAGGAATTGCACTCTAATCACAGCCTTCAAAATAAGAAGCTAACGTTTGAGCACAGATTTAAGAACAAGCAAGACAAATGATCTCACAGTGGAAAAAAATAGTAAACTATAAATTAAAAAGGCAACAACTCAAAACTCTTCAGATACAAAAAATACTGCAAGCCAGAAAAGGTTTTCTTCAGATTGGTGAAGAAAGAAATGGGAGAACAGAAGGGAAAGGAACAGGGTTTTTTTTTATTGGATTTAAACTTAAATTTCTTGAAGCTTGAATAGAAATATTTCTGGGTGTTCCCCCAGCATCAGCCCTCCAGCTCACAGCCCATCACACGCTCCCAGCCCAGTTTTACTCACGCTCTGCTTTGCCTTCGATTCATTACATCCCTCCAAAACATTGCAACACTTTGGGTGCAGGGCAGCTTTGTCAACTGGAATCATGAAAACTCCAGCACCCAGACCCAAAATGTTTAATCAAAGCAAAAACAAGGCTCCAAGCAGAGGAATGGGAACATACAAAATCCACACGGGTGACAAAGCCCTGCCCTGCTGATTTGAGACAAAAGCTCACAGGGTTTTCCACCGGGAGCTCCATGTCCAGCAGCAGCGTCCAGTGTCCTTCCAGATGTGAGCAGGGACAGAAGAGGGGCAGGGGGGACACAAATGGATAAGATTTCCTGCCCTGAGCTGCCTGAAATATCTTCAAAACCTCCCAGGAGAGAACAAACTCCAGCTCGTGTGTATTTCTGTGCACAAGGAAAGTATTTTTTGAATGGAAAAGAGATTTAACTTCAGGACACATAAATGCTACCTGGAGAAGGTGTGACTACCCCACAGCAGCAGTGTAGGCAGTATGGAATGAAGGTAACACTTAAAAGGAAAGGGAATATGTTAAGGTAGGAGATGCCTACTAAGTCACTTCAGTGCAGCAGTGATACAGAGCCCAGCTGTACAGCAGTGATAACAGCAGGCTTTTATTTGTGACTACAGGTCAGACTATAGAGATTCTTGAACTATCACTTTCCTCTCTTTACACAACACCAGCCGAGCTTTTTTCCTAACCTCTGCTGTTTATTTGGTTTATTCCTGCACTATCTTAATGTTTAAATTATTCCAATTACACAGAAAATCCAAGTATCCAAAGTTCCAGTCTTAAGACTGGTTAAGAGCACCGGGAATGCAGAGAAAAAAAAAAAACTTAACAAAGAAACAGACACTCCGTTTCCTTCAAGAGCCATCTCTTGTGATTAGCTCACAGTCAGGTTCAAGTTTTGCACATAAATAGTAAGTTGATCTGTGCACAAGCACGAAGCTTCAGACAGGAGACACCGAATTTTTCATACCAAATCTGAATTTTAATAGGTATTCAAACCTGAGTTTTAATACCAAACAGAAAAACGTGCATATTTTCAGCATTACCCGTGGGGCTACAGCAGCTCCTCTCCCAAGTGTCTGCAATGTGGAACCTATCAGGGTGATTTTTAGCTGCCTGCACACCAACAATTACAGATCATTACAGAGCTGTGAACTGCGTGCATAGCAGGGAGAGCCCTGCCCTGGCTCTCCTGCTGCCCTTGGCTCTGCCTGCCAGGACGTGCTGAGGTCCTGTACAGCCACAGCCTCACCAAGGTGAAGGATGAACCCCTCACTGCCCTCCCAGCTGCACCACGGCCGAAGGAGACATTCCCAGGTGAGATTCCAGGCACAGCACAGTGACTCTTGCCATCTGCA